GGCGACCGGCATAGCAGTGGAGCTCAGCGGTAAAGAGAAGGCCGCTGAGGCTTATGCCTTGGCCTTTGTTGCCTGGGGTGTGGGCAGTGCCCTGGCGGCCGTCGTACCTGGTAAGCAAGTCCCCGCGTTCTCGTGTGTTTTCTTTGATTTGATTCTTATTCTGTTGCTTCTATTAAAATTATTCGAAGGACACATAAAGAGAAGAAAAAAAGTTAACCCCCTAGACTTCGTATCAGTAGCGTCCCTCTCCCAGCACGTATCCCCCCCCCCCAAAAAAAAAAATTGATTAAAAATGTTAGGCAAGCCACTTGTAGAAAATGAATACAAGAACCCTCAAGACCTCAAAGCCACACCCAAATAATTATTCTGCTAGAACCACGCCTAAATCATATTCACCCATAAATAACTGTATTTCTTTCTATAATATTTTCGATCATTTTCTGCGACCGCAAATCGATAAATTGCTTCATGCCCGTTGTACACGAAGCGTCATTTCGATTGCGTTTTTAGCTCCGCTAATAAAGCCTACGAAAGGAATTGGCGCTTGCGCCAAAACTCACAGAAAGGCTTCCTCTTTTTTATTTTGTACTATATGTCGGGTTCTCGCATATGATACGTCAAAGACCGCGCAAGTCGCTGACGTAGTCCTACGTCAGCAAGGCTAGGTCAGCGAAATGACGCCTCGGATGCGACGGGCGCAATGTAATTATCAGCATCTTGATTTACAAGGACAGGCATGTGGTTACTAGGTAAAAGGGTGGTAGAGGGTCTGTACTATGTTAGGCTTTATCGCCCCTCCTCAATTTATTGTTGTGGCCGAAATTCAATTTTGAGTTATACGTGGTTTTTTATTGATTTTTTTCAAAAACTTAATAAATAATTTCATCCTCCGCACAAAATGATAATACAAAAATGTCACAAAAATGACAGAAGGTGGTAAGGTAAATGAAATTGTCTGATACTTATATCGGGAGCGCCAGGAAGGTCAAATCTGACTGACATATTGTGTGCTATACAAGAACCCATTATTATTATTATTATTATTATTATTATTATTTCCGTCATTCAAAAGTTAACATTTTTTAATATCTCTTTCTTCTTTTGCAGGTATCACCCATGAGCTTACGGGCTCCTACACGCTTTCCATGACCCTGTGCGCCGCATTCTGGGGTGTGTCCGCCATTTTGTTCTTCTTTGTCTACCTCTTAAACAGAAGAGCCCGAGCCAAGCGTAAGCGGTTGTCCTCCAACTCAAAAGTTAACGAGCTCAAAAAGGAACCGTTGCCTTTGAAAGATATCCGCAAGGACCAGATCGTTTCCGCCTCCTACTCTCCTCTTCCCACCGAGGACGTGACGACGGTTTGAAACAGAGATCACTTTCAATTAAATCTTAAAGGGAGTGTATCATGATGTTATTACCAAAGAAGAAAAAAAGCCAGTCAGTCACTCAATAGTGTCTGACAGTGAAGTCTAGCAAGTAAACGGGTTTCCTTGCATAATTTGAACATTAGGACACTGCTAACGTTTAAATTTCACAGATAGGACATACATGACATATTCATAATTCCTGCAAAGTTCTACAGAATTTGAGGTTGGCTGCAAAAGGGACATGGTACCTTTAAGTTGGTGTGAATAAGAGGAAAGGTCTACGTTTCTGGGAAAGTGTTGGTCCTTTACGCCCGAATGGTACCTCGGTTAGTTTAGTCAAAACAACCGATGAAAGTACTTGCCGCACGGAGCTGGTCGGACATAGATAAGGGCTTGACGGAATAAGACTCTTTTAAAATAAATATTGCCTGGAAATCGATTTCTTGAAAGTCTGTACGATTATATTACAAGATTACAAGTCTTTCCATTTGCGTGCCCATTGCTTGCATTACTTCGTCTTAGTGACGATACAATTTAAATATAGACTCAGATTCCATATTTTACTAGTGACTCTTTTAAATTGTCTTTAATACTGAAATGCAATTGATTTTCAATTGATTATAGTCACAACTGTAGGGCCATAAAAATGTACATGGGCTGAACAATGCGAGTGTTACTTTTCCATCACTATTTATATTTTTCTATTTTGGATTGAAGTTGTAAAACATGCGTGTACATATTTTGTTCGGAGCTCGTATAGTCAACGCCTCAAACCTCTCGAAATGATTCATAATTACGTATTTTGAACCAAAAAAAAAAATTGTATCTCTATATTCCACGAGAATTTGTCTTATATTATATTAGTTATATACGATGAGATTCGTATATTTCAAAATCTAGTTTATTCAAAAAGTGTGTGCAGTTATAACATTTTGAGATACGGGTAGCTAATTGGGAGTATGTAGGCATGTGTGTGTTGTGCGTGTGTGGGCATTCGTTCGGGCGTTCAATATTTCAATAAGTGACCACGATAACTAAAATGAGGCTGACCCAATATTTGGCTATGGCATTGCGGTAACAGGGTAGCACTGTTTTAAAAGAAAAATATATATTGAAGAGATTTATTAGGGATTACTAAGGAAAATATTCAAAATAACTTGCCATGTTGTCTTGCTAAATGCATCTAATGCGTATACCTACACGTCACAACGGTCTGGTATATAGCTAATTGACTTTTGATAAGTATTTCACTATGTAATAGTTGCAGAATGTCTTGTGTATCACATTTTTCATAATTATATTTTTTAGTTACATGAGTACTATTTTGTTTCAAAGGAAATTATAAAAGGTCATTTAGAATATATGACACTGATCTACAAGCTAAAGCAACGTGGTGAATATCAATAAAAATTCATATATTTATTCTTTTGATTACTTTGTTAACTATTAATGATAACTATTTAGAATAGTTTATCATTTCATGAATAAATTATAATTATATTTGTATTTTGGTTGATGATTACGCAATTTTACATTATGTTCGTTGTAAGCGAAGTAAATTCTTTCAGGAATTAAACTCGTCTAATATCTGTGAGTTTCGTTGTATTAAATTTGTCGTGAAGGGAGATTCAAGTTTGCAAAGAAAAAAAACGAGAGATAGGGAGGTGGGCGGGGATGAAAGAGGTATAGAGAGGGAAAGAAAGAAAGAGATAGAGAAAGAGAGCGAGAGAGAGAGAGAGAGAGAGAGAGAGAGAGACGGGGAGGGGGTAGATATGGGAGAATCAGTGAAAAGGGAATAGATTAAGCGTGGTAATAATGGGGAATGTGAAGGAGACACTAGATAGAGAGAGAGACAGGGACAGAGAGAGACAAACAGACATAGAGGCCCGAATTCACAAAGGAGGTTTGTCGACAAACCTTCGTTTTCGTGCGTCAAACTAGGTTTGTAAAAAACACGGAAAAACGCGTCATATAATGACGTACGAAAACCAAGGTTTGTCGACAAACCTCATTTTGTGAATTCGGGCCAGAGAGACAGAGACAGACGGGGAGGTCGCTGATTTCACACGATAAATCCATCATCCAATCTAAACATGAAATTCCACCTGGAGCGCAGGTTCCTCCAAATTCATTGCTTGTTGTTGTTGTTGTTGTTGTGATTAATGGCGTTTCCAACGTCATTGGATGATTTTCGCCAGGCAATGTGAGAGGGCGTAGTTACTGGTCCTCTCTTAGTACTTTTGCTGTTGGATCGACGATAGCCTAGCTAGTGGCGTTGTGTTTGTGCAATTAACAATGTCAGTAAATTGTTAGTAGTTATTTTCTGTATTGTTATGCAGCCTGTTATTTTAAAGAATTCATTAGGAAGGAAAGGGTGAAGTGGTTGAATATGAGTTGCGATCAGTTTATAACGTTAGTTTAAAGCCTCTCTCCGTACAATGAAGCAATATAATGAGGCAATACCGATGATAGTACCACTGTCACTAAAAGATAATATAACGAAACGTAATTAATACTCTATGTTTATAGTTGAGCATCACAGTTCGTTGTACCTTCCACTGCCTTTTAAAAAAGCTACCACCTTTCCTATATATTCCTCGTTTCCTAGCAAATGACCTAGATTTGGATTTTTGGTCTTTAGTGCTCTTATTCTCCTTCTATGTCTTCATATTTTGGGCATGATAATAAAAAGTGCTCAATTGTTTCTATCGTCTGGCATTCTTCACATAGTCCAGTGTCATGTTTTCTAATTAAATATTTATACTAGTAATTCAGGTTACATTTACCAAGTCTGAATTGGTGGGTTAATCTTTCAGTTTTTTTTGGAGAACTTTTGAAGGGTATGCGGGTTGCATGTGTTCCTTTCCATTCAGCTATACACGTACCATCACAGATCTTCCTCCCTTTCCTATCTCTTTTAATTCCCAAACCACCTCTCTCATTCTCTCCCACCCTCACCATGCACTTCATTATCTCCACTGCACTCCTTCTTTAACCCCACCCCCTCTCTCTCCTCTATTCTGCTACCCTGCTCTCTCTCTCTCTCTCTCTCTCTCTTCTGCTACCGTGCTTTTCTTTTTCCCTCTCTCTCCTCTCTTCTGCTACCCTGCTCTCTCTCCCCTCTCTTTTCTGCTACCCTGCTTTCCCTTTTCACTCTCTCTCCTCTCTTCTGCTACCCTGCTCTCTCTCCCCTCTCTTTTCTGCTACCCTGCTTTCCCTTTTCACTCTCTCTCCTCTCTTCTGCTACCCTGCTCTCTCTACCTCTCTCTCCCCTCTCTTTTCTGCTACCCTGCTTTCCCTTTTCACTCTCTCTCCTCTCTTCTGCTACCCCTTTCTTTATATATACATGCTTATATAATATATATCTTTCTCTCTCCTCTCTTCTGCTACCCTACTCTTCCTTTCTTTATATCTCTCCTCACTTCAGCTACGCTGCTCTGCTCCTCTCTCTCTCTCTCTCTCTCATATCCAATACTTTCTCTTCTCTATTTGATCTTCTTATCTTCACTTTTCATAACCAAACATTTTTTTTCAGTGGCTCCAAAATATTGAAGGCATTTTTGTTTGAAATGAACAACTGGACTAGCGAATTCCTTCATGCAATGACACTAAAATATTGAATTGAAACACGACTTACGATTTCCAGATTTTCATCAAATTTTATTACAAATGCATCAACTAAATAGAGGCTCATGTATACATATTTACAATAAACAACACTGAATAATAATGGATCTGTCTAAATCGGATGTCTATTAAAACAAATCATTGAAATTGATTTATTCAAAGATGCTGTTGATTAAAAATATTGTTGCACTTTCATTATCATTATTTTTAGACACCCTATATTGAACTTGTGACACACTTTAACATAACATATTCAAAGACCAACAAGTTCAAAGTCTGCATATAAAGCAAAACCTGTATATAATGACCACCCAAGGGAGACAAAATATATACAGTCGTTAGAGACAGGTGGACTTTTGCTACAGGTTATTGTAAAGCAGATTTCAGTCAGAAAAACGTTTTGAGGGGGGAAAAAATAATATCTTTATGGACTGGTAATCTTTCAACACAAGTGGTTGCTACAGCACGTCTGAATGTGCTTTGAATATTTTGTTATTATTTTTTATTTATTTATCTGTTTTGTATTGTTTTGTTTAACAAAATTTAGAAAAATAAATCATAATAAAATATGAATAAGCATTGGCTACAAATTCTCACAATTTTAATCTTCATTCCAGTCTTCATATCAAAAGATATTCCCAGTCTTTAATCAAAACTTAAGTTGGGTTCTGGTCATACGATTGCATTATCAGTGGACTGTCTGAAAGTGATTGAAAAAAGTTGCTTACGTAGCTCACAACCGTTGGTGTCAACTGTGAGGTTTTGGAATCACCAAAAAAGCAAAAAGAAATTGACCGAATATTACTGTAACTAAACTCCCACGTACATTGAAATGTGTATATGGGACTACACATAAGTGTGGCATGAAAGTTTGGTCCTGACATTTCAGCTACATGTATCTCCTGTCTTATTTTTGAAACATTGGCGTTTAAAAAGCAATCTTTTTTCAGCGGGCATTTATTATATGATACTCTTCGATTGCCAACATAAAATGAAAGAAAAAAATTATTTTCGCCTCTACCATAACTCAACCTTCTCTTTACATACACTACTCTCCACTTTGAAGTTTCTATCATTTTGACATTTTAAGATTGATCGACATGGATATATTACTCATTTGTCAATTCTAAGTTTATAAACATCCTAAAATACATGTATATGTTTAAAAAATTGAAGGTATCAAGTAACCCTTTAAAAGATGAATGAATCCCAACAAGCAATATACATGTATGTACAAAATATGTGATTTTTTTGCAAAGGTAGGCAATTTACATAGAATTAGAAGAAAAAGAAAACAAATTGTTCGATCCTCACAAGTGCATACAAAAAATGAGAAAGTAAAGGAAGTCTATTTCATGACCCCTGACCTTAAGCCAAACAGTGCATCAACCTATAGTTCAAGGTAACTCATTTCCCGATCATGTTGCTGTCATGTCAGCATGATCAACTGAAATTATGATGATTTCTGTGAGACATTTGCGGAAGTGAAATTTCAGTTTTGCAATTTGCCTTTTGATAGATCTGTCATAAAAGGAATTCAGATGCTCTAGTGACCTTGATGTCTTGCCCTATTTTTGTTTACTTAGGGAGCTAAAATCCTGTAACCATTTGAGATGAGAGAGCAATGTAAAGACAATTGAAAACATGTGCAGATCAAGTGAGTACCTTTGACGACAATTTTTCATTTGCAAAGGTGTCCCAAAGGCTAATAACTTAGTAAACTGCTGGGTTCTTTTAAGCGCATACCTGCCAACTTTAGGAATTAGATTAGGAACCTCTGAACCGTCTGAAGCAAACGACAGGAACACAGTGTATTTTCCATGCGTTTATACAGATTCTTTTTCAAAAAATAAGAGGAATATAGCATTCATAACAGTAGTTTGAAGGCAGAAAAATAGGAATCATTTCTCCAAAACAGGAATGGTTGGCTGCTATGTTAAAGCATACCATGTTTATTTTTCGGCACCTTATGACACACCGATAACCAAGTACGGTTATGACCTCTGTTGCACGTAGCAAAGAGAAGCAGTGGTTTACCGCAGCATATGTGAATGGGCTTTCATTCCTCTCTCTAGTGCCTTCTCCCATCCTCACGGTCACCATGGCGATGACGCTCTCTGTCCTTTTCCTCTCTGTACTCTTTCTTCTTCTCCTTATCCTTCTCACCCCCATCTCTATCTCTATCCCGTCTGCTTTCTTTGTGGGTCTTCACACCATCTCGATAGTTCCTTGAACTTGTTCCTCCGTGTCTGTCATCACTTCGTCTGCTGGGAGAGCGAGATCTTTCATCCTTTCTCCTTCTATCCATCCTGTCATCCTCATCTTCTCTCCGCTCCTTCATCTGCCTATCTTTTCCATTCCTATCGTGTCTACCATGGCTTGGAGAATCAGGACTTTGACTTCTCCTTTCAATTTTAATTTTAATTTTTCTTTCTCTGTGGCTGTCATTGTCTTCTCTCCTGTAGCCTTTTGTGTGCCTTCTTTCCTCGCTATCGCTTCGAGGTTCTCTCTTTATCTTTCTAACCTCATTCCTTCGATCGTCTTTCCTTGCCCTCTTCCTACTCTCACCATCACTATCTGGTTCCTTCTTGCTCGTCCTTCTCTCCTCATGATGCTTTGAACTTGATTTCTTTTTTCGGTCTTGTTCTGAATCGCTCTCTTGGTCAGAAGAGTCGGAATAGCGTCCTTTTCTTGACTTTCCATTGTGTCCTCCTTCTTTCTCACTTCTTCTGTCTCTCTGGTCGAGTTCATCTGAGCTGTTATCACTGTCATCTGATGAATGTGATGGTTTCCTCCTCTTCATATTCTTTTTGTCCTTTCTTTTCTTAGAGCTTTTGGAGTCTAGACGTTTCTGCTTCTTCTCCATCTTGTCCAACTTCCTGCAATTGTGAAAAAAGGAAAAATTACCATCTAAGTCGTATTTAAACCCAAACTACAGATATGAAAAATGTTTTGTAAGGATCTGAATACTGTTTTATTAAACGGAGGACCAAGACCATCACAATAGCTATCACTCAGTGTTAATCAAGAAATGTGGGTTTGCAGATATGGAACACACATGATAAGACTTTCAGTATTTTGTGATTAATGAAGAGACAATGTATTTTTTTCTTCCCAGTAATGTTTCGAAAAAGAAGGATCCTATTCATCAATATCAAATCGAAGTTATTCCTTTCTTAAGGCTAGATTACTCAGAAAGAAACTGCAGAGGTTTACTGTGGCAGTTTTTTATCATTTTTGTTTGATACATTTAAAGGTGAATGGCAGTTGGGGATGAAAAAGGTAGCCAGACGCATACGACAAAGGTCCTTGCCACATTAATTTTTTCAGATACAGAAATGTGAAGGACGATACGCTTATGTCATCCTTTTTTTAAAGACCTGTGGCGCTTTTGTCCACCCTACTTGAAAAGTGCTAAATATAGCCCGTAAAGATTTGCGAAAATGTGAATTCTAAAACAAGGCGAAGATGCAAAATGTGAAAAAAGGGCCATGATGATGTACTTACTTCAGTAATTTTATCTTTTCTTTCATAGAGAGGGATTTGAGGAATGCCTCTTCTGGTTCGACATCCTCATCCTCATCATCATCACTGCTACCAACGAATCTCTGTGATAACAAGAAAATTTGAGTTAATAAATAAGAATTATGAATAAATTGTTTTCACCAATCACTATATTCTAGAAAGGAGAAAATCAGTTTCAAAATGTTACATAAGTAATTTCTACATATTTCATATTTGATTTCAATTTCTTTACATGAGATTCAGGGGAGAACAGAATGATACGATGACAATGAAAAGAAAGAAAAAGAGAGTACGTTCTGTTTGAGAGCCAAGCCATCTCTACGGAACCTCCTACCCCTTACCTCCCATCCTCTCCCCCCAAAATGGTCTCCCTAACAGACATCTCCCCTGATTCTTAGCTACATAGAGGGGAGGAGAAAGAATAGAGGGGAAGAGGAGTAGGGGTAGAAGGAGGATACTGTGGACGAGTAGCGGAGTGGGATTTCTAAAAGTGGAATCGATCTTGGGGAGAACGGACATCTCACCTGATTCTTAGCTTGGCCATTGACCTTCCTTCCCAGTACGTTCTGTTTGAGAGCCAAGCCGTCTCTTCTCATGTCCTCCATCAGATCATCCTTATCCGTGCTCGGTCCAGCGATCTCTTCATCCTTCGTCTGGTCATACAAGGGACACTGAGTATGCAAGCGAGAAGAACATTAGTCACTATAATATGTACTGCGCCTAGAAACAAAGTATTAGGCGCATTATAAATGTGAGCTATTAATATATTACAAGGGTTCATTTAAAATCTCTTTTCACGAAGATCACTTCGTCAATGTATTTTGTTTGAAGATCCTATTTAACATTTGCAAAATATATGTCCTCCAACAAATCGTCCTTGTCTTTGCTCGGTCCAGCGATCTCTTCATCTTTCGTCTGGTCATACATTGGACACTGAGGTATGCAAGGGAGAAAAACATACAGTCAAACCTGCTTTAGTGACCACCTGTCTACAAAGACCACCTGTCTACAACAAGCACATTTTCTGTTTCCCTTAAAAAAAAATTTCTCATTGAAACATGTATTAAAGGAACCTGTCTACAAAGACCACTTTTTGTGTTTCCCTTTGGCGGTCGCTGTAGACAGGTTTGACTGTATTACAAGGGTTCATTTTTATGGGGACTGCACTACTTATAGCTACTTGCGCCCTTTATACAGCAAACAATGCCTAAGCGGTACCTGTTGGTCCCCATGATCCTCTTTTTCTTATGTTAATTGAGAGCGGAGTTGATGAGATAACCACCTGCCAGTGACCACGCAGGGAGGTCTAATCCATCCTGGCCGAACTAGTGCAGGTAGGCTTTAAAATATCTTTTACTGAAGATCATTTTATCAAAATCTTTTGTTTGAAGATTCTATTTAACATTTGCTAAAGATGATTGAAGCTGTCATTTGTTCATGACTCTATCCTTTTCGCTTGAAGGAAAATGTCAGAAACTCTTAAGCCAACAGGTGACTGTTTAGTTATCAAAAGAGATACGGTACACACGTTTATGTACCTTTTAATTTTTCTTTATTTCAAATGCACAAAAATCAAATTAAAATTCACTTTCTTGATGCTGTTTATGCTATTTTGTGTCGATTTATTGCCATATCCCACACAACGTTTCAATTTTATTCAAGGTATTTAAATTGAGTTCTGAGTGCATTCCTTAAGATACATGTACACATAGGACTTTTAAAGCGGCACTTTCAATTGTAGCCACTTTTATTAGTACGGTAGATAAACAAAAACTGTCAGAGCAATCTGAGAGAAATGACATCACTACCTACCTCTCTATCAGTGTTGACATGGCCCCACTTGTGGCATCTGATGCACTTGACGTTGCGCACGGCGATACCAAAGGGTTGATCCGTAACATCCATGTCCTTGGCATAGCCCTCTCGGGGAGCCCCACGCTGCCATTCAAACTTGTACTCCTGGTCCCCGTCCTCCTTCTCCTCCGTCTTCATGCCCTTGGGCGGCTCGTACATGAAGTTCAGGCCATGCTTCACACGTATGTCTCCCATAAGCTGCCTGTAGGATGATATTCATGTAGAGAGAGATGAAACATGGAAATCTGCATGTGGGACTACAACGACACTTTCCTGACAGACTCACACACTCATATTTCTACATTGGTGACCCCTCGTTTACTTGGAAGCTTGGTTGTACGATTTTATTATTCCCTGACTTTTTGGACTTAGCAATGTTTTATAAAATGTCTTCATTCTGGATTATGTATCAAATGTTTTTTATGCTCTTGCATTTATACACGTTTATTCGATGCATACCATGTCATTCATTACTGTCTATTTAATGGCAACTAAACAGCCGTTCGCATACCATGCTTGTTGCATTACATTTTTTTAACATGCAATGCTTGTACATTTCTTAGGCTGCTGTAAATTACTGCATACACTATATTATACAATACATGCACTTTTAGATTTTTATCAGCCATTGATTCTTGTGACATTTTGTAATTTGCTCATTTATATCTTTTTTGCCCTACTTTCATCGTACATTCATGTCTCCAGTATTTTTCCATCACAGTACTTATTTATATGCATTTATTCGGGCCACGTGTGTATTTCTTTCCAATCGCGCATCGTGGTTCCGCACTGTTCACCCCGCGTATTTTCAACGCCACGAGGTTTTTCTCCACTCCCGCTTACACCTCGGTCGAGTCAACAACTCCTGCTTCCATCTTCAGTTGAGTCACACGCTCCATGATTTTCTCTCCAGGCTTATTATTCTACCGTGCCTATCACCTCTTGCATGGCACGTCAACTTTCTCTGCCGTCTCCAGCGGGCTGGCAGTTTCCCAGTGGAACAGTTAAAATCAAGATCCGACATATATGGTGCTTGGTTATCCGCTGGGAGCTGCCAGTTTCTTCACCGGTAGCCTTTCACTCACATGAGCTCGACTCACCGCAGCTCATCTAAACATTCACCATCAAAGTTCGGCTCATCAATCGAGCGACTCACTGCTCAGCACCAATGCCGGCTTTGATGTCTGCATTTTCTACCTTGGCCTCCGACATCAAGCGACTCACTGCTTTTGTCATCGAGCGCCACACATCTCTTCTCTTCTCTTCTATTCTCGCCCGAGAGCTCCATCTACATTCATCATCATCACGAGCATCTGCGACGACATCGTGTTCTTCACGGTTCTTCAACCATGTCAACGAAGTCGCGTTTCCGCCATCAAGCCTCCGCACATCATCGCGTGAGCCCCTTCCTTCGTTTTCATCTCTCTTCTTCTTCATTGGACTTTCGACCTCATTTGCTAGTTGCTACCTTGTTTGGCGTTCAACAATAAGGGATAGAGCAACGTCGATCTGGTGCTGCTCAGTGGCTGCCGGGCTCACGATCAATAGGGCAAAAAGAATTTCCGTTTCGGTTTAATAAAATTTGGAGTGGACTATTAGGCTATTATTATTATTATTATTATTATTATTATTATTATTATTATTATTATTATTTTCACTCTGTCGTAAGCTCTATTCATTTCATTGCATTTATTCATCATTATATGACCATTTAAACTCTGTGCAATATCTACAATTCTCATTCATGTGATTTGTATTCCGAATCATTTATTCACCAGACTTCACTTGCAAGTGTTAGTCCATCATATTTATTCTTCAATAAACATAACGAAAAGGGAATACTTTCTTTTATGTATTTTATTGTCAGTGCAACCTTGTTTCCTCGTAGCTAAATAAAAATAAGTGTTATGTTGTGTGACGAGTGAACACGCTTTCAAATATCCATTCACATTACCTCACACACTCATATCTCTACAAAGCAATAGGCTATTTTCGTAATGTAATCAAATTTAAGTCTTTGTTAAAGCCCATCTGTACTAGTGTACAGGAGGGATAAGACTACCCTGCAAGGTCACTGGACAGGGGGTTATCTCATCAAATCAGCTCTCAATTAACAAAAGATGATCATGGGGGACCAATGGTCACCGATTAGGCATTATTTGTTATATAGAGGGCGCAAGTAGCTATAAGTAGTGCAGTGGGACTTTCAGTTTCCTCGTTATATTCAGTGGATTTGACACCTTACGTTGTATTTCAATATTAAGAATGCTAATTGCATCATACATTATGTGCTGTAAGGTGGGGCAAAACATAATGTTTGTATACCCACATAAAGTGGTTTATACATTTGAATGATTTAACTCAGTTTGATTTAGTTTCTAAAACATCTAAATTTGGATTTGATTTATTTAATCACAGTCAAAAAGCCTGCTTTCAGCTAGAAGCTGCTTTTCAGCAAGGCTGTGAACAACGTAAAAGTAAATACGTGTAGATTAGGATAAGAAGTATGTTCCTAAATAATGTTTGCACATTATGTATGTAAATTAAGATAAAGTACTTTATAAATAACATTATTATCATGTTACAGGGCACCTGGTATGATTATTTCTTGAATGCACTGTGGGCCTATTACGGCTCCCGGAGCTAAAGCTAGGGTAATAATTTCCAAAGCTCTTTGGAAGCACATAGAGATGTTATATAATGTGATATGCGCTATACAAGAACCAAATATTATTATTTATCATAACAACTCTGGTACCTGTTCGTGTATGTATCTTGTTCTCTCTCATACTCCGCTCTCAGGTTGTCTTGCTTCGTCTTCTCTGCGTCTGTTCTCTGCTCTGCCATCCATACCTGTCAAAGATAAGGGAACATTTGAACAAGTTAGCAATGACATTCCTTATTATATTTTCAATGTCAAAGGGCATGAACCCTCAAATTTAAACATTTGTCTCATAGTTTTAAATTTGGTGTCAAATTGAACATAAACATCCAAAGTTTCCATATCTAAAAAATTCAGCCATTTTCACACTGCTGAATATTGAAATTTGCACTATCAATAACATAACCTTGAAATTATTAATTGACACCAACTATGGCAAATTTTCAAAGAGAATAGATCATATTATCAAGACCTGTTTGCCAAAATACATATGCTACACAAAGTTTAAAGAATATATAGCCTTATGGGAACTAATACATGATAGTACAGGGCAGCGTTTCATGAAACCGTCATAAGTACAAGTTCACCGACATCACATAGAAACGCGTATTAAACTTAATACATGCATTTCAATGGGATGTCGGTGAACTTGTACTTATGACGGTTTCGTGAGATGCTGCCCAGGTGCATAAATTGCCGTTCTGCAAAATTTGTTATGCTTCAGTAACTGTAGAAATTTAGTCTCTGAAATGTTGGGAGTTCAATTTGATCTCTATCTCTATTTCTGATAGAAATTACTGCTATGCTGTGAGTATGCACTGTACATTCTACACTACATCCTGTGGTAACAATTTAAATTCAATGGTGTCGGACATATCCAAAAAAATGATCCACATACTTTCAAGAACGGGAACAAAATAGGCTTTGAATATACAGTGTGTAACCCTATTTTGGGATCAATGAGAAAACATTCACAAAAGTACAATTATTTCTGAACACATCGACATTGTACATGTGCACATTGACATGTTTGAAAACATTTCTTCTCCTTACTACTTTGGTCTGCTTCCTTCAACCTGTCAACCTTAAAAAAATTTGCAGAATTTATGAGATTTCTTGCTCTTTATAAAAACAAACTGTTAGTGTTACCGTCCTTACGATGATGATCGCTTCTGTATAATGTTATACAAAGTCGATATGAAGTGATGATACCATGGGACGGTAGTGGACACAGGAGTTTGCAGTTGCACTCGACTTGCACGGTGGCAAGACGGACAGGGGCGGAACTTTGCGTTTGCCTCAACAAACTTGTTCTTTTTTTAATGACTTTTAGTCTAGTTTTAGTTTGAGTTTCAGGTTTTCATCATTTGTTGATAGTTTTGTATATTGATGCCATTTATATTTGAAGAATTTTGTAATTTTTTTTTTATTAATAAAGAAAAATTAAAGAACAAAATCTCGCCGTTTGACGCGATTCCAACGTTGCAAAATCATTCATACATCAGCACACAAATATGGCAATGGACGAGAAAGCATACCGCACATATCATTATGAGTGGGACCGATATGAACAACTTACAAGGGCAAAGCAACAAACAAACGACAGCACCAACAAACATGGCAAATTGCACTTCTCTGTACGTCCTAAATCATCTTACCCGTTTTATATTAGCATACGATGCAGGATGAAAGAATTTCTTGCACATAAAATTCGCAAAAGACTTCCCCATGATGGCGAATTTTATTGACAAATTGACGTTTCGTCACCGATCCGCTTTCACCAACAATCACCACGAAATTGACGTAGATGGCGCGAGGCTTAAATTGCTGGATTTTGTTTTTGTATTGTTGTCATATTTCAGCATATGCCAGTCGAAGAAAATATTCAAATTTCATATCATTATTTTCAGGGATGGTGCGGTTTGTATATTTTGTTTGAATGAAATGGGTATATGGGGCCATTAGAGGCACATTATTCACGGATAAATTATTATGTGGTCTCAAAAGCTCCATTTAGAAAATTTGTTTTAATTCGAAATCCACCCCAAATGAAGCTGATTTTTAATAATATCAACAACAACAAAAACCCAGAAAGATAGTAAAAGTTGAAGAAAAAAAACCACATAGAACAAATGATAAATATTTGGAAGGGTCATCACATAGTTGCCAATACGTCATTGATCGATATCAACTTAAAGATAAGCTTGAATTCTCATAGAAAATAAATTCTCACAGAATCCAACAAAACTTACATTTAATGTTTCAGATATACAAATAATAAAAAATAAATGAAATGTGCCAAACGAATTCGATAGGAAATGTATAGGGGCCCCCAAGTATAAATGAGCACAGAAAGATAAGGAAATCAACGTTAGTAGGCCCAACACCATGTGCTTAACATACAGGTCACTTATGTGCGAATGAGAGTTGTGGTTTTTAATGAAGATGATTTTCAGCAAGTTTTTGTGAGGTTGTTTTTATTATACTGGTTCAAACAATCAATCTACTGCAGGATAAACAATCCAGAATTGATTATAGCCACGTTCTCTCGAGATACGATTCCCATACCAGAGCCCAAGATTAATAAAGCTTCATATAGTTGTTTTTATCCTTCACAAAACTGTTCAAAGTTTTCTCTGACCCTAGCTTTTTCTCTCATTGTTCTACTTTCATACAAGTCATCTTGATGTTTTGGTTAACTTCCGCTCTCACGCTATGAAATAAATTGAGCTGTAGCCGACCGTTCATTTTTCATCAGTGTTCATGGAAAAGGATTCTTGTGTAGCACATCTATAAGCTGAACATATAGTGATAAGAAATAAGACATTGAAAACTGATGTATTTTAAAGTGCATAGTGTACATATGTCAGCTAGTACGTAGCTCATTTAATATCATTGCTTAAATTTAAACTACTTTGTAACTAATGAACTCACCAAGATGTTCAGAAAAATTGACAGCATGAATGAATGATAATCATACAATAATATACGTCTTATACGTACATGTGTACTTTTATTGAATCTTTGAAATTGATATGATAAGCGTCGGATTGCAACAGCTATCGCACAAAGAGTTAAAGGTCGTTCAGAAATTAGGGAATAACCCTTCACCAAAAACTTGCCATTCTTTTATGTGTAAATGAATAGCAACTGTGTGAAAAAAGGTCCTAAGTTCATTCACTTAGCCACAGTTTTGCAGCGTCATATCTGCCCAAGGCTTTACTGATATCAATCTGTACCTTATAAATGAAAATGATTCATAAACTCTAGATTGAAATTTCATTCCAAATGATTCAAGTTCATTTTACTCTTTAATTAGTACCGGTACATGGAACTTTCTTGCATTGATAGTACATGTAGAAGAACCCTTAACAGATGTTAAGGCGCAATGGCTCAGTGGTCTCATAACTGGAGGTCCCGGGTTCAAAACCAATTTGATGCACAATTAAGTGACTGCCCTTTGTAAGACATTTATCCTCATTACCGAATCCCTCGGACAGGACTTAAGCCGTCAGTCCCCTGGTTGCTTACTTACAAGCATACACATGCTTTCTTAGCAGTCACGTAAAACAAACCAACCAACATATTTGAACTACATAATGTGTATTCACATTACACACACATAGATTCATCCATTCCAAAATTCATGAAGTACAAATAACTTCTAAAGGAATTTGTAAAAAGAAAAATAATGCTCCTTTTATATTTTTCACCAACTGTAATATGAGAAATAGAAAACAAATGTAAAGATTCCTTTGAAAAAGGGAAATAAAAAAAGTTTTCCCAATCCTAATTTGTAGCATACAACATGAAGAGCATGTGGGTCTGTTCATAGCTGTTTACAGCCATATTTAGAGACAAGGAAAGCAAACAGTCACAGGAACTGGTGTGCAATTCTACAATACTTTTGAATAGGAATTTAATTGTGACTATCCTCAAATCTGCTTCTCTTCTCAACAACATAAGCATGTGTCTGTAGACACATGTGTCTGTAGACATATTTTTTAAACACAACTGGCAAGAGTGACCTTTGGCTCTTCAGAGTGTTTCTACATTCATGCCTTCCGTTATATTTTCAAGGCATGCAGTGAATAGAAAAGAGAAATGCTCTACCCTCAGTGAGTTGTACATCAAACAATGTTTGGGAATCTAAGTGAGTGCATATTTTGTACACAAGCTACTTTCATTACTCTGTAATAATTTTGAGCCATATACTTGTTTGTTAAGAACTTTGTTTAATTACAAAAGGTTGCAAATTACACTGGGAGGATTGTGGTCTATATTGATTAGGGATGGCAAAAGGGAAAGAAAAAAAAGGGGAAAAAAAGAGGTAATTTATAAATCAGGAAACAATGCATTCGTTTTTACTAGGCCATTATTATCTGCCATTGAAATGATTTAAAGTATGGTCATTATTATAAATAAGTGTATTATGTTGATTTTTTTTTTTTTTTTAAATCCAATTTGATTTATATGACCTTATCATCAATTATAAAACAAAACCAACAACAAATTACCAACCTTAATTTTGGTATGTTGAGATTTGTCTTTCAAATCAAATGTGATATCCAAGTAATACCATGACGCTGGGTAAACAGTAAAGTGAACCAATTCATGTGATCATAATATCAGATAAAAGACTTGGCACAGCATCATAAGAAGATTTGATAAACTGTGGCTTAGAGAACTTGTCAAAACAAGTAATCAACAAATGGCAGGTAAATACGGCCTAGAAACTCAAATACAGAGTTACAGAGAAGCAGGCACAGGTCAAAAAAATCTCAGACAAGGATTTACAAAATATATCTGGCAATGCCTCCTTTCTGTGAAGAACACATGTACCATTTTGACAACAAACTGGAAATCTATCAAAATGATGTAATTTTGATAAGCACTTATTTGTATCACCGGTTGTACAGACAGCAGAGAGTATCCCAATTTCTGACAGGCAATCAAACAAAATCTTTGCCATTCATGATAATGGAATTTGTCTGATCTACTATCTACATGGTTTCTGCCTCATTAATGTGACTGGTGCACAAATTACACATGATTCTCCTTCCATGACTTGTTCATATCTTGATATAGATCTACATAGGGTGATACTGATACAGCTGCATAAATCATTGACCATGGATGATATTAGTCTTGAGTTTGGCCCTCTTCCGTAGGCTAGCTTGAACGTCATCCTTTCGCTCTCAGAAGTCATCAAAAAGTTCATCTTCAAGTCCATCAAGTAGATCACCAATACTTTCTGTGGAAGGTTAAAGATAAGAAAAAGATGAAGCAAGTTTGAGCAGTCCATACGTGAACGCATCTTCTCGAACCTTCATATGGGGATTCCTTTGAAGGTAGACTTCTGCTGAAAGGGGAATTCATCCTAAATGTGGGGGGGGGGGAATGGGAACAGCATAAATATCTAGACAGCAGATTTAGAATCATAAACCTGGGCCCTGTTTCATAAAACTTGTTATCAATAACACGTTGCAATAACTGTTATAAGCTACTGAAAATGAAGCATTTGATTGGCTCATTTGGCTGAGAGGAATTTTGTTACAGAAATGTGACGCTTATTATTGACAAAAAAATTTATGAAACAGGGTCCGGATGTACTGATAAAAGGTATCTGGTTGGCTGGGAGTGCGGATTGTATTTAAAAAACGAAATTTGCCTCCAAGGTACAACTACAGATCAATTTCGAAGTACAGTATTTCTTAACATCTAAAAAAAAAAAAATCTTCAAATTATGCAAACATATGCAGACTCAATTGCCAGATTTGGCAGAGTGGTGCTTGAAACAGTCCTACCAAAACATTTTGCAACTTTCCCACCCACCTTCTCTGAAGTTGTTGGGGGCAGGCTTTTGGCCCTTGTTTGGTCCATCCGTCAGGTTTCCTCCACCGGTATTGGACCCCAGGCCAGAGATGTCCCTCAGGCACGGTCTCTTCATCTCCTCAGGGAGCTTCGGCATGCTTGGAGTGGGTTTGGATGGAATGGGATGGCATCTTTTGGTTGCTATGGGGACCATTCCTGTAGGTGATGATGATGTCAAGGAGGAGGTGGAGGTAAGAGGGATGGTAACAGTTGTAGATGAGGTTGGGGAAGGCCGATGAGCTGGAGAGATTTGAGTAGTTACTGCTTTGGAGGAGGATGGTGAAGCAGATGAACCTGATGTAGATTTGGAATAATCAACCCCATCAAAATGTTTATCTCTATTTTCCGTCGGTTCCTCTTTCCTAGTGTCTAGTCTGGATCTCATATCGTTTTTCTCCGACTTGCGAATCCATCAGCAGCACATCCTCGTCATCCTCATCATCAAGCATCTCCTCCCAAATCCCAGCATCCTCACCATCCTCCATGTAAGTGTCAGTATCCATGGTGACAACATCCACTGCATCACTTGATCCCAATCTCTCGTCATTCGCATCTCTCCTACCCGGAGCTAAGCTCCCTTCTGTGGACGGAAGACGGCTGTGTTCTGGGATCCCTTTCTCGGATGAACGTTTTCGGGATGGTGTCTTTCCAGAGCGTTTCCTAGTTCTCTTCGGCGTCTGTTGACTGCCTGGCCTGCTGCTGCTCTCCCCTGGGAAGACCTGGATGAGGTTGCTTGGAGTGATGTTGAGGTAATGGTTGCGCTGCGATGGGCTCAGGACTCCAACCTTGAAGTGAGAATACAAATAAACGACTGTGTGAATATATTTGCATTGTATAATATGGAAAAACATTCAATGAGTGTGTGTGTGTGTGTGTATTGGGTTTTTACAGACGTGACTCAGTTTCGAACCTGCTTCCTCGGCTGAATCAGTTTGTAACTTCCACTGTCAGCTGGATTGCAGGCACACACCACAACGCCTAGATGTGTCTTAAGCATGAAGGTACCTGGAAGTTGACTGGCTGATAGCAAATTTATCATTGAATTTTAGTATTTATTATCAAAAAAAAAAGTTATATAATTGTGCCCAGGACAGGACCAGATTCTTTTCCCTTATAGCTAGATTTTTGTCAAAACTCCATACACCCCTCCCCCTCAACAGGCCCAATCACCAACCTCTCATCTCCCATGAAGTTCATTTATACAGATCTGGTGATAATCATTCTGCATTGAGTTTCATACTGTCATTAAAATACAACCCTACACCTAACACTCTACTTAACTCTAACCCCAACCTATTTAACCCAAAACCTAGTTTATAAAACCCTAACCCTATATTTTGAGAAACAAATGAAAATAAAGCCAAGAGAAAGAATTGTCGGATCAAATGTTGGATCACAGTTCTGACGACAGCCGCTCCATGGTCAACTAATTTCCTAAGTTCAACTCAGAACCAAACATAAAATCTAACCCTAGCCCCAACTCTACTCCTAACCCTGACCTAAAGCTGAATAATGCAGCCCTACATGTAACCCTAACCCGTAAACAATTAAAGAATGGAGCAAATGTTACAAGTCAATGTAAGAGAATAATGCAGTTCACCGCAGATCTACAACACTGTAGTCATATAATCTGGATGTCCACCAAAACTTTTTGAGTCTTACAGAGAGTTACGATCGATCCAAATCAATCGTAAGTCCTCCAATTGATCGCAAGTTTGCAGTCTCCTATCTCTTATGTACATAGTTACGATTGATATCATCTCTTTGTAAGACGGGGCCCTGGACTAACCTGTCTAAGGACCAGAACAGAGCCAGGTCTAAGGTCGCCCTGGTACTCCTCAATCAGCCTTCGGTGAATAGTCCCCTGCATCTCACCGCTGGGATCACACAGGCTCACGCTGGCATCACTGCTGTTGAGAGAGATAGTCTTGATCATCACACACAGATGGTTCACTTTGTTCTTGGTGAGCTGCTTTAGACTTGCCTAGAGGAGACAAAAAAAAAGGTTAAGGAAAGTTCTTCAAAGCCCGACTGCACTACTTGTAGGTACTTGCGCCCTCTATATAGCAAACAATGACTAAGCAGTACCCGTTGGTCCCCCATGGTCCCCCATGGTCCCGTTTTTCTCATGTAAATTGAGAGCTGTCAGTGACCACGCAGAGAGGTCTAATCCGTCCTGGCTAAACTAGTGCAGATAGGTTTAACTTATTTTCAACCCACTAAATGCCATGAATCTAATTTTTCTTCCAGGTGGTCATCATACATTGCACCATGCCAATACAGTGGCAAATAGTAAATTCAGGTACCGGTATAACATCCATTTATCAAATTAAATTTTGTGAATGTTATCAAAGATTATTAATTATGTATGTTTTAAAGGGAAACTTGAGTTTTGTTGCAGAGGGCACTACACAAAATAAATTTGTGTGAGATAATGAAAAACTGAGTGTTGAATTTGAAAGAACATACAATTTAAATGACGATATCATCTTCGTTTGGTCAAAATTGGTTACACATTCCTACCTTCCTAATGACAAGGGCTAAATTGTTCTGTTGAAGGATTGAGTTGGGATCGCCATCTCTGATGCCAAGTTCAGTCTTCATCAGAAACCAGGCTCCATGTTCAAAGTCTCCAACATTTGTGACTTCCTCACTAGACTCCTGGGGGGAAAAAAGGCAAAACTTTGGTGATTCTGTGACACTGATCCACTTATTTCATCAAACAAGGGAAACGCTCTCGGCGGTCTCGCCTGCATAACGCAATTCAATATGATAAACCAGAACGTCAATGACGTAGCGCTCATCCGCATCTCACAACAACAAATATCGTAAATTTTATGTGGTACACTTTTGAACTGGTCAAAAAATAGAAATTTGATGCCCTGGAAGGGACATAATTTCATTTCATTTGCATAAAGTACCATAAATAATCAATGGAGCAAAATCTCACAATTCTGTGTAGAAGTTTATTGTTCCAAATTTAGCTCTACCAGATAAGGCAAAATCGGTCATATGAAACAATCAGAATCAAAATCGGTTGAAAAATAACGAAGAAGAAGCATTTTGAAAATCTTAATGTTGATGCCACAACAAAGTCTAAGTTTGTTGACCTTAAATGGCCTTTGACCTTAACTTAGTGACCTGAAATTCTACTCACATGATTGGGGAGACTTGATAACCCTATAGTCCAAGTTTCATTGACTAAGAACTTATACTTTCAAAATTATATCAAAAATTAAAAAACTTAACCTTAGGTTAAGTTTTCGATGATGCTACAACATAGTTCAAGCCTGTTGACCTGAAATGACCTTTGACCTTGACTTTGTGATCTGAAATTCTACTCACATGATTGGGGATACTTGACTACCCTATAGTAAAAGTTTCATTGACTAAGAACTTATACTTTAAAAATTATACCAAAAATTCAAAAACTTAACCGTAGGTTAAGTTTTTGATGTTGACGCCGTCGCCGTCACCGGAAAAGTGGCGCCTATGTCTCGCTTTTTGCTACGCAGGCGAGACAAAAATGAGAATCTCTTCATATGACCAATAATGAAAAAAGAAATTTAAATCCTGGCATCAATAATATTATCCAAAGGGCATATCAAGATATTTTTAATATATTTTGGGATAAAAATATCCCTCCCCCCCCCCCCCAATATATTTCTTGGATTAAAATATGATCAGAAACAACAAATTTAAGTCAAGTCCGCGAAGTTGAGGAAGCATTGCAAGGAATCGTCCAGGCAGATGAGAGCATTGCATGTAGGTGCTTTCTGGTCAGGTTTTGGGCACACAAGTCCAGAAATGTCTGACTCACACATATTCAGAAGTGTTTCTAAAAGTGATGGCACCAACACAAATTTGTTAACATTGTTTTATATTTTGTATAATTCATGTATAAAGCCAGAGTGGAGAATATGGTTTGTAGGGGGTGTTGTAAGAATACATTGATAAGAAACACTCATCATTTTACTCTCATGTTATTTTGTCATTCATTACTGCATCTTGGATCGATTCCAATATACGGTTCTGTGCTTGGGTGAAGAGTACCAGCTTAAATTTTGACCGCCCCCCCCCCCCCCCCCCCCCGCAACACACACATATTTTATTTTTGTAATCAGAGAATAAAGAAACAATATAGAAATAATACATTATCTTTATCATATCATTAGGCCTAAAAAAAAATTGATGACTTGGCGTAACGGGTCACTGAAAATAAGGGTAGGTAGGGCGATTTTTTGTTGTTGTTGTTGTTGTTGTTGTTGTTGTTGTTGTTGCTTATATTTGCATACATGAAATTAGCCATTCATACACATACATACATACAGTGGCGTAGATAGGTCCTCAGACCTTGGGGATAATCTGATGAGAGGGTAGACCACAATATCGTCGCTGTTTTCACGAAGTGACGGTAGTGAAAAAAAATTGCATTCACTTTGCGTTACGATTTTCCTCACTACCGTCACTTCGTGAAAATAGGGACGATATGTTCAAATAACTCCACGCACACACACACACATATATGGACACACACACTGTGTGAGCAAAGTGAGCAAGAAATTGTTGAAATCTTGATCACCTTGGGACCTGGGGGATGCATACATACACCTGGCCCCCCCCCCCCCCTGCATACATACATGTACATGTACATGTACATACACCCTCATGCACATAAAATGCAAACATACGAACGCATTAATAGGTTTCCAACAGACCCCAGCCTGAGATATCTCAGACACTGTCTTCAATCTTGTAATAGTGACACTGTTTCAGACAACAGCAAATCAGAAAACGGACCACAGTTTTCCTTAGATGCCTTGATGTTCTTAACCACAAAATTATTAGCAGCCAGATCTTGAACGATTTCTCCGATCGTTGCTTCAATGTCCACCTTCCGAAGAACGCTGAATAAAACGTGAGCACCAAATTTACCCGTGAACTGAACGCCATAGGACGCCATGTTGGGGATACAATCGCCTAGCGGTACTATGGCGTACCTGCCCGCTGCACTCGGCGCGCGAGCTGGCCCAAACACGGCGCGGCAAAGCCCAGAATGAAAGCAACAAACATCCGGGTTTTCCCCACTGCGATATCGATATTTACGCAATCGCAATCGGATAAAAAAAATAAAAAAGCGTAGGGTCGGCGATAAAAATAGAGTCGGGCGGGTTACGCCAAGTCATCAATTTTTTTTTTTAGGCCTTAGTATAAACGATTCTGATGTTGCACTGACTAAAATATGTTGTGTGGTGATCAGACACTTGCTCATTCCAACAATTTCTACAGGCTTTATTTCATCAAAGGCCTAGGGTAAGGGTTAGGGATGTGTTGGGCTTTGCTTTTGGTTCATTTTTAGGGTAAAGGTTTAATGTACATCCTATTG